TGGGTCTTTAAATTTTGGGGCCATAGTGTTTTTTAGTTCTTTATAAATTCTAGAGAGCAGACCTTTGTCTGAGTACTTATTTGTCATGATTTTTTCCAAATTTGTGAGTTTTCTTTTCACTTCTTTTGTAATTTCTTTTGATGTGAAAAAACTTCTCAATAAGAGCTGGTCCCAGTTGTTAATTCTTTCAAGTGTTTCCCATGCGATTTGACTTTTGTTCATGAACTCTCCACCAACCCCTATGTCTTCAAGAGTTCCTCCTACTTTCTCTTTCAGGAGATGTAGTGTTTCTGTTTTAATGTTTAGATCTTTAATACATTTTGACTTTAGTTTTGTGCATGGTGATAGACCTGGGTCAAGTTTGAGTTTTTGGCATGTAGAAAGCCAGTTTTTCCAGCACCATTTTTTAAAGAGGCTGTTTCTTCCAGTGAGTATGTTTGGCCCTTTTGTCAAAGATAAGTTGGCTTAGTGTGTTTGTAGGGGCTCCAGCGTCTTCTAATCTATTCCATTGATCCTCAGGTCTATTTAGTTGCCAGTACCATGCTGATTTTCTCACAGTAGCCTTGTAGTATAATTTCAAGTCAGGAATTGTAATGCCTCCTGCCTTGTCTTTATTGCCCAGGACTGCCTTTGCTTTTCCGGTTCCAAATAAATTTTAGGAATGATTTCTCTAGCTCTATGAGGTATGTTGGTGGTGCACTGAGGTTCTAAGAGATGCCGTCCCCTGCAGATGGGACAGGGAATCTAGCCAATGATGCCCCTTCTTGGAATAGGGTGGCTTGGGCCTTGACCACTCACAAGAGGAAAAAAAAATATCCTTAACCAGTTGGATGGTTTGGGTACTCTAGCAAGAGGAAAATCCATGGGATGGGAATGAACACAGCAAAAGTGGATCCCCAGCCAATGTTTGTGCAAGACTTAGTTTACTCTTCACTAATGGACACTGTAATTTCCCCTCCAATGTTATTAAAAAGTGAGGCCCTCCTTAATTTCATCAAGTGGGGGAGTTGACAGAAATGCTAAATCCTAGGCACTGGCCGCTAGGAAGCAAGAGGCCGTGGCATCAGCAGACCACTGCCATGTCTAAAATCTTTACTTCACATACTTAAGAGGAAGAAGAGTAGGGTAACGTAAATTTAGCAGCTTACAAAATTTAACTTCTATTTATGACACAATGGACTAAATTAAGGCCATTAGTTTATATCCCTGAACTGTAAAGTTTTTCAGTTGCAAGTTACACATAGGCTCTGACCAAATTTCTTAGGTCTTATACAACTTCAGTCTTAGGAATTAATTCTTAGATGTTTATATTTTAGCGAGGGCAGGATGAAATAACAAACTTCCCAGCAACCTGGAATAACAAGATTACCTTAATATAAGCAAAAGGAGTCCACAGATGAGGGGGTGGGTGGAGAGAAACAGAAAGCTAAGAAGCCTTTGGATGGTAACTTTGTAAATTCAAGTTTGAGAATGACCCTCAAGTTATTCACAAAAAATCTTTAAATGAGGTAAGTCAATCAAATATTAAACTAGTCACACCGAGCCAAAAGTGAGTTTACCCAAAAAGGTACTGTTGCCATAAACACACTCTAATTAAAAAGTATAGGATTAATCTTGCCAGCTGAGAGTGGAGAGGCAGAAGAAGACCCACCAAAGCCACTTCTAGAGATTCTAGGGTATCTTGATGAGTTTAAATCAAATTTTGCAAATGCTGTCTCTAGGACTTATTTTCAGGCTGTTTCTGTACTGACTGCAAAGAGTACCAGGGCTGAGAAATATTAGAAAAAAAAAAAAAGTTAGCTTTTCCTCCACCCAGTTTTAGGTAATAGAAGCACCCAGTAGAATATATGTAAAGATCAAATTGGTATTTCAATTGCATCACAATTCAGACATGGCTGGTCAGATATATGAACTTATTTCATAGCTAGTACCAGATCTCAGGCCCTTCACAATAAATCCAAACCAAACCAGATACCTCTCTCTCTCTTTCATAATTGTCCAAGACTTCTAGCTTAGCACAAAAGAAAACCAGTTTAGGAATATCTAATATCCCCCACATACACCCATTAAGGAAGCCAACTCATCCTTTAACTTTGCTATCTCCCACATATTTGAAAGTTGAGCTGTACAGTTATCACATGTAAAGCCACCTGGCATACAGACATTTCTGTAACAGTCACAACAACATCAGGTCAAATACAGAGGGTAAAGTAATGACACCTTAAGGTCATTTCCTCCCACTGTGTCTTGGGTTTATCTTGCACATTTATGATGAGGGGTCAGAACAGTGGGTAGTCAACCCGTAGGCGTGGCTTTCCAAATAAGTCAATAAAGTTTCTTCTGACACAGGAAAGAGGTTTATTATTTTGGGGCTTTCCCTAAGAGGCCATTGCTCCTGCTGGGGACCTCCACAGGAGAGAGATTATTAGTTGTATCTTTTCAGGCTGGAGGGAACAGTGCTCTTGTCAGCCTTATGATTAATTACTCACAGAAATTCTACTCTGAAAAGTTACAGTAACCAAAAGAAAGATGAAAAAGCAAAAAAGGGAAATTTAGATAATGGGGTGGTAAGAGAAAGAGGCCAAGACCCAGCAAAGAAATGCTCTGACAGACATATGTTCTCAAACAGTAGGATTACATCCAAATCTAAGAACCAAGTCAGGATACATCAAAAGGCCATCTCAAAACAAGATGATAGGAAATTAACAATCACTAGCATATTGCGTCTTCAAAGTAGTTTGTCAGGTTTCAAGATATATGCATGTAAAATGATCAAGCAGTATTAGCACTAACTGTTCCTTTCTATGAACTCATAGAAATAAGAAAAAAACAAAAAAAAAGGACAATCTAAAAGAAAAACAACTCTTATCCAGTGTCTTCTTGAAAAGGTTTCATAATACAAAAGACTTACATTGTATATAGAACCAGTCTGGGTGACTCTTCAAAAGAAACACCTCACATTGAAGATCAGAATTACTGACATAACTCTCCAAATAATAGCTTATTCTGAGCCAAGTCTACTGACCATGTTCCACTCACAGAGACTAGATTATTCTGAATGACATGTTTTACCATAAAAGAGATTCTAGTCACAGAACAAAGGGAAGTCCTGGGTCATTCAGGTACCACCCACTGTGTTTTGGTGAGGGTACCAGGTAGCTGAGCTTCAGCAAAAGCAATTTTTTAAATAGCTTTCAGATTGTATAGCATTCTTAGCTTGAGGGTCATGGGTCTAACAGATGGAAGTCTGCTATGCTTACTGATATATTTCTGAGAAATTTCTGTAATTGTCATAACGACATCAGGTCAAATGTAGAACTTAAGGTAAACGTTATTGGTAAATAGCCTGAGATAGCCCAAGGTAATTTTGCTCTTATGTACCACTCTATCTCTCCATAGCCATGATGTTTTAATCAACCAAGTTAAATGATCTGTAATATATTTCATGTAGAACTTCAGATCACATGGTAGTGACACCGGCAAGTTTGCTTCAATTCAACTGTTTATACCAATGGATCTAGAAGATCAAAGCTACTGTGTGACCTTAGTTCTATGCTAAACTTAGATTCTGAGAAGAGTGGAACCTCCCAAATGACCAGCATTTATTTCATTCAAAACAGTAACTCAGGAACATCTAGGGGTGCAGGAAGGTCATTAAATCAGTATGATATCATTTCAGTTTGTGTTTGAGGAAGGCAAAGAGAACACTCTACTGGAAAAACATCAAACTAAGCTTGTAAACATCAAACTAAGCTTCTTGAAATTGAGGTGTGTTAGCCAATCTCTCTCTCCTGTTTTGAACATAAAATTTCTCATTTTGAAGGTGAAGATCATTAGCCACATCTGATTATACTTGTTTTTCCCTTCATTAAACTACGGATTTGTAAATGGAAAACCTCCTGGAAAGAGGCAACTTTAGTAAGAAAGATGTCCCTGAGACTTGCCTAAAATATTATATTGTCATTACCCATGGGAAGAGTTTTCCCATCACTTTTCAGTTGAGGGATAGCAAATGACCTTTCACTGTCTTGTTGCCTTTTGTTCTAACAGATCCTTTGTCATCCAGCAAATCCCAAGCAGCAATCTGTTCATGGTGGTGGTGGACAGCAGCTGCCTGTGTGAGTCCGTGGCCCCCATCACCATGGCCCCCATTGAAATCAGGTATATCCTTTTGTGTGTCTGTCTAACCACTACAGCTGAAACCGGTAAGGGGGATCCACAGTGAGGAACTCGGGGGTGGAGGGAGACCGTCAGAGAGGGCAAAGTGACATCCTTCCCGCCGTAGAAAAGATCAAGTAACAGAGTTTCATGCCAAGTTTTGACCTCTGAAGTTCAGAATAGGAACAATAATCCTTGGAAATATGCCTTAACTTCAGTCAACATAATGAATCCCTTAAGTGTGAACGCTTAAAGGCTCAGAAGATCAGAAGGCGTCCAGAATCTTGTCATGGCTTCCATCCTGAGGTAATTCTGAGAATTCTTCCTGTTCTTTTTCCCATCAGATTCACAATGAGAATCTCACAATGGTCAAAGAACTGCAGTTGAAAAGTTTACTCATGAGAAAATAATCCCTTTCAGGAAATGAAAAATGACACAGAAAGGCCTAGAGGTCCCCAGTGGTCAAGTGGGGAGGCTCTTGGTGTCTTAGCTTCTACTTGATGGTCTTCTGTAGTTATTTTTAAAGGCTTTCTCCATTTTTCCTATTATATTCTATAATTTTATCATATTACAGTATAGCTGTAACCATGTTGGTTTACTCACTTTAAACTGAAGTGAAAATTAATATCTCCTACTTATTTTCTGCAATAAAATAATATTCCATAAAAATGTCTATGTAATGGAGAGGATTTGATAACTAGGACCAGAAAACTAAGGAAGAAAAATAGATCTGTTTGATTATACAGATAGTGTAATTTTTCTATTCTAAAAGATAACAAAGCCAGCATCCAATTTATGAAACTTGAAAAACAATTACAAGCAGCTCTTCTAAATTGTTAAGTCAATAAGACACATACGAAAATAAACTAGGACCATAAAATTGTAAGTCACTCAATGATTGGGAAATATGTCATGATGAAATGTGTACCTGTAACCTTCAAGGACAAAACATGATTTTCAGCTTCACAGCTTCAATCCTGGGTATCTTTACTATATGCAGGGGTAAAACCTACTGGCTGATAAGGACTTACATTCAGTACTCTTTGTAGCAGTAAAGAAGAGCTCAGAAAATGAATGCCTATCAGTAAGGAAGTAACTGGATGAACTAACCTAGAATAATGGAGGTGGTGAAAGGTCCATCACTGTGTGGAGAAATAGCATTCTGGAGAAATGAGTAAATAAGTCCATTTCAGTTTTGTAAAACACAATCTCCTTTCCCCTAAGTACAGCGGGAAAAGACACATGCAGAAGCTCCCATGGCCAAATGGCCAAGGGTAAGAAATGATCAGGTCCCTTAGATGTTGATCTTATATTGTCACAGGGAAAATCTCCCATAGTCCGATCACAACTGACATCACTACTGATAGCCCTTTGGCCTTTTGAAGATTCAATACTGAATCAACTGAAATCAAAGATGCTTCTTCTTAAAACTTGATGAAGTTTAGACAAATCTGTATGTTCTCATCAGATAGATCCTAGAGGCTAGGCTGGAGAGGGGAGAGAGGGCTGGGGAATCAATGTGTTGGAAAAGCTAAGGCATCTTGAGGCACATCTTGGCTCTAACCAACCCCCGTTTCCTCATAGGAGAACGCAAGGGAGTGTGGTGGTGCGCAGAGTCTCCAGGCCAAGACGGCCCCTCTTCTGCTCTCTCTGCTTTTGATATTCTTCTTGAGGTGACACTGACGGAGATGTTCCCTTGGCATGCTAAATCATGGATAAACTGTGAACCAAAATATGGTGCGACATAGAAGACATAAAATGTAATCCAACCATCATCAGCATCTCATGATTTTAAACTGTGCGTGATATAAACTCTTAAACATGTTGACGAGAAAAGTTATCTTTTTACTTTGCCAGCCATGCAGACGTGTTTGCCACATGATAATCATCACCCTTCATCTGAAATGGGACTGCAAGCGGTAGGCAGCGTCCCTTCTGCTTGAAATCCATTGAAACCAATTTAAAACTGTGTACTTTTTAAATAAAGTATATTAAAATCATAATTTCCTGGTTTGGATTTTATCATCACTTAATACAGAGTTTGAGAGCAAAACGCAGGGTGGAGTGAAGTTGCACATCCCCCAAATTAGTGAAAGATGGCTGTTGGCAAAGAATTTGTTCCAAAGTAGATTCTAGACAAATATTTCTCAGTTGTTTAGATGCTCCACTCAGCTATAAAAATATTTACAGAAGTAAATCAAAATACCATCTACATGGGAAGAATTTATTCTGAATTTTGTTGCACTGAAATTCAATAGAAGTCTTAATTGGATGAGAACACAAGCTCTCATAATAGTCAAGGACAGAAAGAAGTCCTGAATCCTAGGAATTTATTCTGGGAAGACTTGGAGGAGAAAAGGAGGACCCGGAAAGAGTCTCTCATTCATTACTTGAGCTCGTGGCTTATGGCTTTCCCCATAAATAAGAGATGAAGTTGCATCTCCAGTATTAGATGAGGTGAACCTAGCCAGATCTGTAAGCATTTCTACAAAGCGACATGCTCAATTACAGAAAACAGATTCCACTGGATGAGTGATTTCCTTACATAGATATGGAACACCTCACGGTATGCACACATATCTAAGACATCTGGACAATGACACTTGAACTCTACTGAAAGACACACTGTCCTGATACTTGTGAAACACTGAAATGTTATCTTTCAGCCATACTGTGAACACGATTCTAATATTTATAGGAATAACAGCGATACTACCACATGCTACCCTATCAGAATTTAACAGCCAAGGAGTTATAGAATTTGACATTGATATTGCTCATTTTTGGATACTAAGTCATTAACATAATTTTTAACAAAAGTAATACCTCAGGGCTGACCATCCTCCTTTATGATGCAGGAGAACTGGCAGCAATACCTACATTATGTTATGGGGCTTCATAATTGAGTACTAATGACATAAAATACATATTTATAATGTTGCTTCCTCTCCCATTGTAAATAGTGAAGTAGCATCATTTTAATTTTATTTTTAATCTTTTATTTATGTATTTATTTGGTACAAGGTCTCATACGTAGTTCAGACTCAGAATGATCCTCCTGCCTCAGCCTTCCAAGTTCTGGGATTACAGGTATGTGCTACCATGTCCAGGTTTAGGGGTGGCATGGTATGTGGTACTGGGGATCGAACCTGGGTACCTGTGCTTGTGAGGCAGGGCCTTAAACTGCCAAGCTGTCCCAGCCCTTATCTTTAAAGAGAATACAAAACATAGTTTTATTTTATTTGTTTTGGCGGAATCGGGGATATTAAACCCAGGCCCTTGCACTTGCCAGGCAAGCGTTTATTCTACTAAGCCATCTCCCCAGCCCCTAAGGGAGTCCCAACAGATCCAGGGCTCGGGCACCATGTTGGTTTGGCTTAGTTTTTTTTTTTTTTTTTTTTTTTTTTTTTTTTTTTTTTTTTTTTTTTGGCAGAACTGGGGATTAAACCCAGGCCCTTGCACTTGCCAGGCAAGCACTTATTCTACTGAGCTATCTCCCTGGCCCCCAAAACATAGTTTTTAAAAAATTAGAAATGATACAAAATTTCACTAAACAAAATGATAGGAATTTAATAACGATTGGTATATTGCATATTGTTGTCTTCAAATTAGTTGTTCAGGTTACCCAATATAAGCCTGTAAGATTGGTAAAAAAAAATTGAAAAATTAAAAAGGAGAGAGAAAAAAATAAGCATGAACTGTTCCTTTCAATAGACCAGCAGAAATCAGCAGTACAGTTGTCCAAACCATCCTATGTATATACCTACATATTTTTCCTTTTTTTTTTTTTTTTTTTTGGTGGAACCGGGGATTGAACTCAGGTCCTTGCGCTTGCCAGAGAAGAGCTTATTCCCCTGAGCCATCTCCCCGGCCCCATCTTTTCTCCTTTCCCTTATCCCAGTTTCTCTTTCCTTTGAACAGATTCTTGCCTCTCACGGTATCTGCTGTACCTTTCAGCTCAGGTTCTTACACTAGGGAGACAATGCAAGGCTTGCACACATGGGTCTGACTTAGTTCACTCATGAGTCTGGTCTCTAATTACATCCATTTACCTATGAAAGTCTCAAGTCTATCTCATTTTTATTACACTGTGATATAAGGGGCCACAGCTGAGTCTCACTGTTCTTGGGGCACTGTCAGGCACCAGAGGCCTGAAAATGACCCAGCAGGTACCTCATATTTTCATTCTAATGACAACGCCAAACAACTTACCTATTTGGATAGTGACCTTTATTTTTATTTTTTTTTTTTTCCTTTTTTGGTACCAGGAATCAAACTCATGACCTCACGCTTGCCTCCCAGGCACTGTATCACTGTACCACATCCCCGGCTACAATTTTCAGTCTACTATGTCCTTAGTACAACTCTGTTCTCTCCTTTACTAGTCCTTTCCCTTCATTCTGACTCTCCATTTCCAAACTTTGCATTCATGCTTTCCCTCCAGCCATGAACTGTTCAGGGCTTTCTGTGCGCCACGCCCGTGGCTTCCCTTGCCTACAGTCCTCTTTCCAGCCCTTCTCGCAGTATCCTGTTCCCATCACATCCCCATTGGCCCATTGGGGATGCACCAATCCTGTCTTGTGATGTCAGTGCCCCTCCCCACAGGTCCATTCTCCATAGAGTTGCTGGAGCAACGTTTCTAGAGCAAGCATCCCATCAAACCCTTGCCCAATGAGATTAGTGAGAGGCGTGGATTCCTCGCCATAATCCACAGGGGTGATTCTCCTGGTCTTTCATGTGTTAGAATCACCCAGGGAACTTCAAAGCATCTTGACTTTCTAGGAGTAGGACTCAGGTATTTGTGTGTATTTTTTTTTACTGTGTCCATGTGAAGCTGAGTTGAACACTGACCTGGGGCCAGCCAGATAGCACAGCGGATTAAATCAGCTGCTTAGGCAGATGCAGGGGCCTGGGTTCGGATCCCTGGCCTGCAGTGCCGGCCCCACACTGAGGAGCGCTGAGACAGTGATTGAGACTGGGTGTGGTAGCGTGTGCCTGCAATTTCAGGACTTGGGAGGCTGAAAGCAGGAAGATCACTGTAAGTCCAATCTGTGTGTGAGACCCTGTACTAAATACTTTAAAAAAATAAACACTGACCTGGGGCTTCAGTGCCCAGACTCCAGGCTGTGCCTCTCGGACTCATGGCTGTCCCTTCTTGCCATTTTACTTCTACTTAGATGCCCCCTCCCTGGGACACCTGGGAAAGCAGCTCTTTCCCCAGGGCCCTGCGACTTTGGTTTTAGTTTTCCATTTTCTACACTCTGAAAAGTCAATTTTTCCCAGTTCATGGCAGGAAGAACTTGTCTGATGGTCTCTGTGGCTTTATCTTCAGTTCCTAGAACAGTGCATGGAATAAAAATAAAACCGCCACCACCAGCGACAAAGGCAGCAGCTAACACTTGGTGAGATCTGTCTGCCTAGAGCAAGTGGAAGAGCTTAGTTTAGTCACGTGATCTCTGCAACAACTCCAAAGAGCCGATGCAGTTCCCATCTCCTACTGACAGACAGAGAGAGGGAGGCACAAGGAGGGAGAATAATATCACCAAGGTCACACGGTGGCAAGAGGTGACAATGCTGGAAACTGAAGCCCACCAACTTGCCACATTGTGAATAGCGTAATGCAGAGTATAGGAAAAGTCATTTGAATACTGCTAGGCAATAGAGCAGAGAACAGAGAGCTAATGTTTTTCAATGCTTTGGGGGAAATACAGTAATGAAGGAATTTACTTGTCTATGCCCTATAAGGCACTGTGTAATCTACTCACCCTTTCTCTCCCTTCTTCAGTGCCACTGCATGTCTCATCTGCTCATAGTGGCCTTTGCACCAGCCACTCTGCCTGGAGCACACGTTCCGAAATTCTCGTGTGCCTTTGTCCCTTGCCCGCTTCAAACCCATCATCATAGGCAGCCGTCTTTGTTGACAAGGGCAATTTCCACACCCCTCCTCCCTTGCCCTGCTTAGTTTCCTTCCCTAGCAGTTATTTCCTACATAGACAGACAGACAAGACAGTCTCTCCCTGAGGAAAAAAATAAGCCCAGAAGAGCGCAGAATTTTGTATGGTGTTCTTACTGCTGCAGTCCGAGCTCCAAGAAAAGCGTGAGAGTCAGAGCAGACCCTCTGTGAATATCTAAGCAAATAAGCACACAGCAGTGGTAGCAGGAGCAGACCTGGGACCCGTGTGACCGTCCCCAGCCCTGTGGCATGGAGCAGTGTAACGTCTTGGTCACTGCTGGAGCAAATAGGGCTCCAGGGGACAGTCTGTATTCTGTCACTGCAAGAATTTGAAGTAGAGTTCTGTGAGCAGTAATGTAATTGAGGGAACCATATCCCGAGGGATTTATCAGAGAACTTTTTATTTAAATGAGCAGTTTATTTTACTATTATTATTTTTGTATTTAGGACAGGATCTACAGGGTCTAATTATGTAGCTCCGACTCATAGTGATTCTCCTGTTTTCAGCCTCCCAAGAGCTGGGATTAAAGGAGCGTGCCACCACAGCCGGTCTCCACTGCTGTCTCAGCACGCCCCGGGGGTGGGGCCAGCATGGCAAACTCACAGTGGAACCCCAGCTGATGCCCTCTGCCTACGCAGGCACGTTAGTCCGCTGAGCTATCTGTCCAGCCCTAAATGTGTAGATGATTGCTACTTAGTACGCAAACAAAATGAGGGGTAATCCATACATCATTACGTAACACAGTTACGAACATTACAGGCTGAAACTTCGAATATAATTACAGATTCAGAAGGCATTTATAGCACACGTTGGTGTAACACTGTAGCAATAGTCTTCCACAAATGTGGAAATATTTCATATATGTGTACCTATGGACATATATATCCGTGTAACGTTCTTCTGTATATCCTACGCTAAATTCACAGAAATATAGTTGTAATATTTATTGATGTTAGACTACAAAAATGCAGCACAAATATACTGCTGTGATATCTG